GTATTTCAGGTTATTTGTAGAGATTTTTTAAAAATAAAATATTTTAAATCATTTTAAATAGAAGCAAATTCAGATTCATATGATAGTAGTTCAGAAGAAGAAATTTCTGTACGTTTAAATAAACTTGAAAAAGAAATAGCTACATTATCTGGTATTAATCAAAAAAAAATTATTAAAAAATCTGAAAAAATATTTAAAATTATTAATGAACAACTTATTTAAAAAGAAAAAAAAATTAGTTTTTTATGAGAAGAAATTTATGATCTACAAGGACAAGTAAATTTTTATAAAAATTGTTTGTACAAAGAATTAATAGAAACAATAAGTTCTTTTTTCGATAAATTACTTAAAGATTTATTTGATAATTTTTTAAATATTAGTATTATACAAAATATATTAGATAAAATTAAAAATTTTATTCCCCAACCATTTTTTAATATAATATTTGAATATGGTATAGATTATATTCACCCCAAAAAATAGGTTTTGTGAAAAAATTTTTTAGAGAATTATTTTTACCTGTAAGTTTTTTTCCGATATTTATTTTTAAATTACCAATTATTAGAACATTTGGTGATTTTTTTGTAGTATTTAGTATGACATTTATTTTTTTAATATATTATATTAATGTAACTTTTGGTCATCAATATTTAATTTTAATCATAAAGGAATATTAATTTATAATAAATTTATTTGTTTTTATTAAAATGGTCTTAAAATTTTTTTTGTTAATTGTTATTTTTTTTTAATCTGTTCTTCGAACCTCTCTCTTAGTGAATATAATATATATATTTATCAACTCATCATAAAATTACAAAATTAATTTTTTGTTTGGAGTTAAAAAAACTCTAATTTTATTTCTTAGTGAAATTAAAATTCACTTAGAAAATTTATTTGGTATAGATTAATATTGAATCTATATATTCTCAACCTTTAAATACAACTTTATATACCCAAAATTTACTTGGAAACTTGTCTTCTATTACGAACAAGATTATAGAAGATACAAAATTGAGAAATTAGTATAAAGATCTTTTCTCAATATTCATTAAAATTGGAGTTCTTGAAGTTGAGTTTTTGTAAAGAAAATAAAGAACTTAGAAAATATTCTTATTTAAAAATAGTAGATTAGATTTTAAATTTTTAGAAGTTTATTTTTGTTTCTCTATATGGTCTAAATACTTGTTTAATAGTTTAAATGAGTAGTTAGTCCATATAGACAAACAAATTTATTTTTAAATAATAAATTTATCAAATTACAAAAAATATTTCATAATAAATAAAATTTTATTATTAATAAAAAATAACTTTATTAAATATTAAAATAAAAAATCAAATGATTTATACATATTTCTAATAGAATCATCTTCTATATCTTCAACATCAATATTTCCATTTACTAATATTTTAACTGTTAAATCTAAAAAATTTCTTTTTTCATTTTCAGTTGTATAATATCCTATCATTTCTGATAATGTATTTTGAATTATATCAATATTTTTTTGAGTAATACTAAGTTTATCAAATAATGATTCTTTATATTCTCCAATTATTAATTGAATATTCTGAATATCATCAATTTGTTCTTCTTGTATCCAAAGTGGATTCCATGAACTATATTTTTTTTTTCTATATATTAAAGGATATCCTTTTAATTTTTTATATATTTTGTCTTTTTTAAGTCTAGGTATTGAAATATATGTTTTCTTTCTTAGTTGTTCTTCATAAAGATAGTTAATTAGTTCTTTAGTTAAAGTATCAGTTTCTTCAATTTTTTTTTGTATATTTGTTTTCTAAGAGAAATTTTTCATCTTTTTCAAGAACCTACATATAATACAATGCATCTAATAAAGATTTCTTATTTTTACTATTATTATAATTCTTTTTGATTATATCTAATATTGGTTTAATTTTTAATTTTGGAAACTTTTTTAAACTTTCATTATCTAATATTTTTCTATATTGATTAATAATATTTAATATTTGTGATTCAGGAGTACCATTAATATTTCTTTTAGAATCTGCATTGTTAGGTTGTCTTAATATAGAATCTTCTGGTATTTGTAGTCTTTTTAGTATTTTAGTTTTAGATTGAATTGGAGTTTGTAACAAATTAATTTTATCAATTCTAATTTGGTTTAATTTTTCTTTAGTTTTATCTTCTGATAGAAAATTT